CTTGTCGTGGGGGTCCACCTTGACCCTCGACCTCGGCGGGCGCCGCCGGCGCCAGCCGAGCAGCCCGGCCGGCGCTGGCCGCGCGGCCGCCCCCCTGGCCCCCCTCCTCCCCTGGCCAGGAGGACAGAAGGGCTGTCCTTCTCTTCCTCCTCCTCCTCCTCCTCCTCTCTCTCCTCCTCCTCCTCCTCCTCTCCTCCTCCTCCCTCCTCCTCCTCCTCCTCTCCTCCTCCTACTGTCCTCCTCCTCCTCCTCCTCCCTCCTCCTCCTCTCCTCCTCCTCCTCCTCTCCTCCCCCCTCCTCTCCTCCTCCTCCCCCTCCTCCTCCTCCTCCTCCTCCTCCTCCTTCTCCGCCTCTTCCTCCTCCTCCTCCTCCTCGGTAATGCCTCCACCTCAGACACCCGACGATGTGTTCTTGTTCAACGCGCGGCCCCAAGGACGTCCCCTTCCGTTTCCTGGGGGCATGCTTTGTCCCTGGCGAAAATTTGGTCTCAGGGCCTGGGAACGGGCCCCAGAAGTTGGCCGGGTAGTAATGGGAGGCAACCCCAAATTTGGGGCGATGACAAGGCCATAACATGTGCCTTGCTCCCGACAGGGCCCGTTTAAGGGTTCGCTTTCTCCTCTCAGTTAGGTTATCCCCGATTACCGCCCGTCCGAAGAAGCCTGTATCCGCGCTCAAATCCGGAATTGAAACAACATATCGTCGGAAATCTGGGTCCTCCCCGGTCGGGAACGAGCAGACTAGGACCATCAGGGCCTCATGGCCTGTCCGCAACAGGCCAGCGCGACGGCCGCGGCGCGGGTGACGAGGCTGAGCGGACAATGTGTGTGTGTGTATAAATGTACGTAGCACCCCGCAAATGCGGATAAGAGTGAGGGGGCGGTGGGGACGTCGGCAGTTTGCGAGACTTTGGAAAAGCCCGCCGCAGGCGCCAGACGCCAAAATGTCAAATTATACAACGAGCCCGCCGCAAGCGCCGATTTTCTCGTTAAACCAGATGTGAGTAGGTCTCGGGTGGGTCGCGGGTGGGTCGCGGGTGGGTCGTGGGGTGGGTCGCGGGGTGGGTCGCGGGTGGGTCGCGGGTGGGTCGCGGGTGGTCGCGGGTGTAAAGGGCAGAAAATCCACCCCATAATAATCACCCCGGTAAACGCACACAACAAATGAATCGAACAGGGCCGGGCTGTTTAGTCAACGCCCAAGGCCGTCTAGTAAATGTCAAGTGTCGGGTCCGGATGGTTTTTCCTCCCTTGAGGGGGGTCGTGGGTGTGTCGCGGATGGGTCGCGGGCTGGGTCGCAGGGTGGGTCGCGGGTGGGTCGCGGCTGGGACGCGAGCGGGTCGTGGGGTGGGTAACGGGGGGTCGCGGGGTGGGTCGCGGGTGTGTCGCGGGCTGTGTCGCGGGGTGGGTCGCGGGTGGGTCGCTGTTGGGTCGCGGGTGGGTCGCGGGTGGCGTTCCAGGGGATCGTGTTCGCAGAATTCCGGGGATCGGAGGACAAAGACTTGGCCGTGAACTTGCTTCGTGCGGCCGGCCTCCAACCAGGCGGGGGGATGGGTCTGTGGGCCAATGCCGACCGTCCAGCACCTGAGAGCGCGGCTCGAAATTTTTGCTTCGGCCTCAAGCGGATGATGAACACCGAATGGCAACTACCATACACAGTATTTGTCACAGATTCTTCTCCGTACACGGTCACAGTGGGTGGGGAGGAGGGTGTCACCATGAACGTAAAGGGGAACGCAGTGGAGTATGAGTGGCATGGGGAGTGGGAAGGTTGGGAGGAGCTGCAAAACAATTCAGGCGTCAGGGGCTTAAAGCAGAAGGCGGACGACCTGGTGTCTCGCGCCGCCTCGGGCATGAAGGGCGCGAAAGGCGTGGTCACTGGCAATCGCTCGGACGTCCATTCCCTGTGCTTTCTTCGATTTCGTGCGTGGCTTTTTCGCCAAATGATCAAGGATGCTCCTCGATGGTCTTCGCCGAAGGAAAAATGCACACGTCCGAGCGATGCCAAGGGTCAAGGGCGGCGCCAAGGGAACAGCGAAGGGTGCCAAAGGGCGCCCAGGATACCCATACATGTCAAGAACCCGCTCTGGTTATGGTGTCCCAGGCTTCCGAGGTGGGCCGCTGCACCCGCGCCAGCGCGCCGCTGTCTTCGGTTCGTGGAACGCGGGAGGGTTGACGGAGGAGAAAATAGAAGAGCTTCGGTTACACATACATGCAAGCGTTGGACATTGACCTTCTCGCCCTTCAAGAGACACATGGGCATGAATCTATTGATCGAATCACCGACAGAGGATATTCATTGATTCTAATCGTGGATACGGGCGATCATGAAGTTGCTGGGGTCGGTTTCTTGGTTTCCCCAAGCGCCTGGAGCAGCGTGATCGGCTTCAAAGTGGTATCTTCGAGAGTCGACTTTCTGAAGCTGCGAATTTGCAGTGGGAAGGTACCTGTCTTTATTGTATATACCCCACACAGCGGCAAACCGCCCGACGACAGACAAGAGTTTTAACACAGGCTTGGTCGAATGATTGCCGACACCTCCAAGCACGGACATGTTTTGATCATGGGGGATTGCAACGCAAGGTTGCACCGGCGATTTGGAGGAGAGGAAACGTTTCTGGGTGATTACATATTTGGCGATATTCTGCACATCACGACCCAAATTCTAATCGAAGCCCTCTCCTCGAGCTTTGCGAGACAGAGACTTCGGCAGGGGCGAACACGTTCTTTGACCATCCTCCGGAGCGCCAAATCACGTGTTACAATATTGGGTCGAAGCCAAGCGATCCGGCCGTCCCACAACACTTCTGCCATATCGATTTCCTGTTATGCGATGCGGACCGCATCAACACCATTGCAGACGTGCAGAACCAGCGGGACTACGCGCTCGCGTCACACTACTTAGTATTGCTCTGCCGCGTGCACCTCGACATCCCGAAGGGCCAAAGGACGCGGGACAGCGCGGGAAAGAGACAATTCGGCGAGAAGTTCCGCTTTCACATGTCAGAATTCTGCCGAAAGCAGCCGCTTGGCGACCGCTGAGACCTTGCCCCGCTTGCTGGAGCGAAGACAACAACCGCGGGTTTGCGATGCAACTCTAGGGTTAATCAGCCGCCGGAGCGAGGCCAGGGGGCAAGCAACTGCTGAGTTGGAGAAGCGGCTCCACGGACAAATCAGGGCTTTCGTAAAGAAATACAGAGCGGATTGGCTCGACCAACACTTTCAGAATGGAGACTGGGAGCCTGTGCGCAAACTTCGGAGGCCTCGTGGCGCGACCATGGGGCGCCTCCGGGACGTGCGCGGCAAGACAGTTGACAGCGACGAGCGGACGCAGACGCTCGCCGAATACTTCGCTACAATGCAATGGGCCGTGCGACCCATATTGTACGGCGCAGACTTGATGTAGCCGCTACTGCCAGTGTCGGATGGCCCAATCACGGCAGAGGAAGTCTGCGCAGCATCGCACTCGCTGAAACGACACCGCGCTGATGGCAAGGATGGTGTGCCAGCCGAGTTCTGCAAGGATATTCGTTTCAAGGACACGCCTGCATGCGAATGGGCAGTGCGAATCGGTGGTCACAGCCATTTTCAAAAAGGGGGACACCGCAGATTGCTCCAACTACAGGCCCGCATCGCTTTTACCCATCGGGATCAAGCTCTACGCTACGATATTGCTTGCGCGCCTCAAGACCGCTGGCGCGGAGGACCGTATTTGGGGCACGCAGTTCGGCTTCCGCTCGGGGCGAGGCACCACCGACGCGCTGTTTATCGCCAGGCGTTTGATCGAAGACGCCATGGACGCTGGCTCAGGACGCCTTCTTCTGCTTGCGCTAGACTGGGCCAACGCTTTCCACAATGTATCGCCAGACAAGCTTCTGCAAGCTTTGACGCGCTTCGGGATCCCGGAGAGGTTCGCACCTGCCGTGCGAGGGATCTACACGAACAAGAATTTCGCGTCCGGCACACCTGTGCAACTTCGGATTCCTGGCCACAGGCGTTTGGCATTTCTCAAAAGTGTCCATTGTCTCCATTCTTGTTTTCAAATTTGATGAGCGTGCTGATGCATGATGCGACACGTAACTTCGAATCTTTCGGGCTACAACAACACCACGCTCTTCCGATCAGCGAACTTATTTATGCGGATGACACACTTCTCGTTGGTGCTGACCAAGCACACGTACACCAATTGATGGACTGCGTGCGGGAGGCTGGGGAGCACTATGGCATATCCTTCAACTGAGGCAAGCCTGAAGTACTGCCTGTACGATGTCAATCGCAGCTGCTACGACCAGATGGCAGAGTAATGCCACAAATGGACAGTATGGTATACTTGGGTGGACTTCCCTGTGCCGACGGGAGCAGCGGCGCTGAGCTGCGCAGGAGGATAGGAATGGCGCGCACAGACTTTGGATCATTGTGGAGATTGTGGAAACACATCAGGTTGCCGTTGAAGAAGAAGGCTGCATCTTTTAACGCGTGCGTAGTGTCCAAATTAATGTATTGCTTGCACACAGTATGGCTGAAGAAAGCAGGCCGCGATAACTTAGACGCATTTCAAGCGAAGTGCTTACGCAAACTCGCCGACATTCCGCACTCGTACATTAGCCAAATCACGAATAGAGCAGTTCTGCGAACGTGCATATGCCAACGGTTGAGTGTTCAACTGGCGCTGCGCCAGATGCTTCTAATGGGCAGGGTGACCCAACTTCCAGAGAGCAGTGCTGCTCGACAATGTGTGTTCGCGCCGGGGACGTTTGATTCACGCTGGCCGGGTGGTCGCCGCAAGCGTGCCAGACCGAGGAGCTCCTGGAAGCGACACATCTTCGAGATGTAACGCGTGGCAGCCGGTAGGAAGGACGCCTTGCTCCGATTGTGGCGAGGGAGAGCCGGCGAGTGGCAATCATTGCCAAACAGGTTTGCTCGCAGTTGTGATGTCCTCTCCCCCCCCTCTCCCTTCGTCGTCGTCGTCCTTCTCCTCCTCCTCCTCCTCCTCCTCCTCCTCCTCCTCCTCCTCCTCCCTCTTCCTTTCAGCGAGGCGGCTTTCGTGCCTCCTCCCTCTTCCTTTCAGCGAGGCGGCTTTAGTGTTTCCCGCCGTTGCAGAGGTCGGTGCCGCAGTCTTCAGGGTTGACGGCACGACGCGCTTCACTAAATTCGATGCCACCGCACCTGTGATGTGCACGGCTTTCTCTCTCTCTCTCTCTCTCTCTCTCCCGTCGTGATACTTTCATGACTCGAGGGCCCCCGGGGATAGCACGTCGGAAGAGAGGGGGGTCGGCTCTCAGACGGTGCCGAACGGCTGCTGGTCAGAACACGCACAGCTCAACAGTGGGAGGGGGGGCGTGGCTCCTCCTCCTCATTCCTCCTCCTCTCCTCCTCCTCATTACTCTTCCTCCTCCTCCTCCTCCTCCTCCTCCTCCTCCTCCTCCTCCTCTCTCGAGCCGAGCTGCGAGCCCTGCCCTTCGATGATGCGAGGCCGCCCTCGGCGAGGCCCTCGCCGTATCTAGAAGAAGAAAAGGCACATATAAACATAAACATAAACATTTGGCGCTCCGCGCGGATTGGTTGGATTCGCGCTGGACCCCCTCCCTGGCGCGCGGAAGCGCCGCCAGGGGGGCCCAGGGGCGGATCCAAGAACTCCGCGCGGAGCGCCAAAAGGTTTATGTGTATGCGCTTTTTTCTTCGAGTATCCCCCTCCCCCACCTCCATGCATACCCCGACCCTGACGAGCCCACGCGCCCCATCCGACTCGACATGGCAATGTCGACCCTCGCGGACATCCACGACACACTTTTCGTTTCTCCCCGTCCCCATCGCTCTCCCGTTCTTGTCGCCGCGGCGGGGTGCAGCTCGGCAGACTGTCCAGGACGGGCCTGGGAAGGGGTGATCAGATCCGGCCGTACAGAAGACGAAGACCGAGAGCCCAACTGCTCGAGAGAGGGAGAATGAGGGAGGAAAGGAGAGGGAGGGGGGATGGAAGGGGGGTGGGGAGAGGGAGAGGGAGAGGGAGGGAAAGGGAGAGGGAGAGAGAGGAACAGGGAGAGAGAGAGAGAGAGAGAGAAAGAGAGAGCGAGGGCGAGGGCGAGGGAGAGGGAGGGAGCGCCTCAGACAGGCTCGTCCTCCACTGCGCTGCAGGGCTCCTCGTAGCCTCCACACTCCACAAGATGCGAGGAGAAGCCCGCTGCAGCCCACACCGCCAGGGCGTCGGTCTAGAGCCCAGATTGGGACAGCAGCCCCCCCCTCGTTCTGGCTGGAGCTCTCGCTCGCTCGATACTCCGTGCCGGCGAGTTTCGTCCCAGCTCGAACTCTGTCAACTCAGCCGAAACCTCTATGGCTCCTCTGCCCCGCTGCTGCTGCTGTGGGGGGGGAAGCCGACTTTATTGCTCGAGCTCAAGCGCCGGCGCTGCACACACGCATGCTAGTTACTTGCAACATCCTAGACTCCCAGGGCAAGTCCTCCAGGAATCTTCAGAAATCACACTCATATTATTTTCTCTAGCTAAGCGTGACACGCAGCAGCGTGCGCTGGGCCTAGCACCCAGTTCAACAGCAAATGAAAGCAGGCGTCGCGTCAAACAGCGCAACACCGTGCTGATCGCCAAAATGGCGTTATCGTCGCACACGGCGTAGTGGTCCCTCACGTATCCGTCGAGCTCGCTCCCTTGCTCGACTCACTGGCCTCCATCCTCTCGTACATATCACGGAGGCGGATGGCCTTCATCTCGGCTTAGATTTCCTTCTCCTTGCTGGTCCGCAAGGTCTTCTCGATCTCGCGGTACTCCTTCTCTCGCTTCCACCACGTCGTGTCCGTGTCCACCAGCAGCATGCCACACTGCAGGCACCGGAGCTTATCCTTGTACTGGTTACTGCCCTGTGTAGTCTTCACGTTATGCTCGCAGTCGCCTATGCGTTCTCGGGCCATCTGCTTCCCCTTGAGCTTGCCCTTGGCCTTGCTCGTGGACTCGTGCGTCACCGTGCGTCTCGAACTCGCTGCCCTTGGCTTCCCGCGGCACGGACGCGTAGGTCTTCTTTCCTCGACGACACTCGTCGCAGTTCTTGACCACCAACTAATACGCCTCGAGAACACCTTCCTCGATCACGTCGCCGAACTCGTCCGCGATCTTCTCATATGATGAGTGTCCGGTTCTCTCGTGTAGGGCGCGAGCCTTCAGCATCTCTTTCTTCGTCGGGGTCGTAGAATCCTTGCGTTGGCGCGGTACCTTCTGCCAGGTCCATGTCTCCTCGTCATCATCGTCTCCGTCATCCGGCACAGCAGGCAGGTCGTCGGCACGCGCCGAGGTAGAGGCCCGATGGGGCTTCTTGCGTGTCCTCGGTCCGCACTCGCACTGGTCCAACGTCATCGACACAACGCGCGCACCGTCACCGTTGCCGCTGCAGCGGCGCCTGACTTGATCTCCTCAGACTCGGCACCCGCAGCGTCCATCATGTAGATCTCCGCAACGTCGGTGCTCTCCTCCTTCACGTTCCCGTCTGACTCGACGTGCACACCAAGCTCCTCGGTGACACCTGGTTCCTCCTTGGGGTCGCCGTCGGTCGTCACCTTCGGCTTCTTGATGGTGTGCTTCTCCGTGAAGTCCTTCTCGTAGCGCTCGAGGGCCGCCTGAGTCGGTGCGTAGATCGTCAGCAGTTTCCGCACCTGGGTCTGGATCCTCCGACGCTTTGACACCTGGTCTAATTCAGACCAGCCAACCATGTCGTCAAACTTCTTGCAGTAGATGTCGCCCTCGCGCTGTCCAAGCATCATCCGCCAACGGAGGTATGGCCTCGGAGCAGGCTGAGCCACACGCGCATTGCACCTCACATCCGCTATGCACTCCTCGAAGTAGGTGTAGCCCTCGTGAACGAAGAGCTGGTCAGCAGGCCGCTGCCTCTTGGGATACTTCGAGCGGTAGTAATCACCCCTGCGTCCCTTGAGCTCCATCCTCTGCTTGGCGATGACCTGGTCCGCCATGAGATCCTCCGTCAGCCGGCACTCGCCGGTCTGGAGCACATACCTCATGTAGTCGCCAGCGCGGACGTCGTGCTTGGTTAGGCAGTCGGCGAGCATCTGCTTCGTGCTCACCCACTTGCTCACCACGTTGTTGAACTCCAGGTCGTTCCTGAGCGATTCGATATCGATCAGCAGCCGCTTCTCGGAGGGCACCGCCCCTCGCTTCTGGAGCAGGTCGTACAGTGACTTACAGTCCGCGACTTCCACCATCTTGATCGCCTTCACGTCGTCCAGGTGGGTCCGGTAGCCGAGTCCATAGTGCAGCTCCACCAGGTGCTGCCTCAGCATGTCGCCACTCTCGACCGCCTCCAGCGCCGCCATCGTCTCGGCCGCCAGGGTACTGCGCACCACCCGCTTGATACGGTGCGACCGCCACAACATGGGAGTGACCTTGGCAGGCATCCCGCGGAGGAACTGATCGTCCTTGTTGTCTGCTAGCAGGATGACCAGGCCCGCCTGACTCGCGGTCTTCGTCTTGCCCACGTTGCCGTGGCTCGAGTCTCCAACCGCCACCACGATCGCGTCGTCTATGTTGATCTTCTGGAAAAGGATGTCCACGTGGTCCGCCTTGGCATCGCTCACCAGCTTGTTGAAGTCCAGCAGATCCTGAACCTTCAGGTCGCTGTCGTGGGCCCTCGCTTGACTCTCCACCTGTCGGAATGCCAAGTCCATACGGGTAGATCGCACCAGCCACTGAATCTGGCCGTTGCCGCTGTGGAGCATCGCCCTTTCCTCGGGTGTAGCCTTCGCTTCCTTGTCCTTGCGACGCTCGTTTGAGATCGGAATATTCTCGATGCTCTCGGTGTACTCCCTCTGGCTGCAGGTGATGGTGCCATCATCTCTCTGCAAGAGAAATCTCCCGCAGTGGTGGAAACCGGTCTTCGCCGTCTGCCACTTGCCGTAGCAGTGCATCTTCCTCAGCTTGGTCACCTGGTTAGCGAAGAACTCGGGCGAGCCCGCTACCAAGTCGTCGTCCACGTGCGTCCCGATCAGGCCGATCAGCTTCTCATTCTCGTCGTGGAAGATGAAGAGAGCCGGGCGCAACTTCGATCTCGACGCTCCTGGAAGAGACAGCATGGTGCCGCGGTGCTCCTCGTACCACAACAGAGGTGCATCATTCAGCCCGTAGATCCCCTTCTTCGCTCTCAGCACCGTACCTTCTGGAACGGCTGGCCAGCCCAACTCCGGCACAGCTGGCAGGCCACCCTTCGGCGCGCGGAAGTATACGCGTCGAGAGCTGTCGAGGTACTTCCCGTTCAGAAATGCCGAGTCGACGTCGCCCTGTTCCAGCCTCCAGCCCAACTGGCCAGCAGCCTCCTGAGGGATCACCGCCGTGGCCGTGTCCGTCAGAGCGAGGGCGTTGGTCTGCAACTCGCCAGCCAGCAGCTGCTTGTCCCTGTATCCTGGAACGATGTTCCGGGACTTCGCCTTGAGCGGGTGCTGCTCGTGCGACAGGTTGCCCCTCGTCGCCTCGTTCTTGTCCGTGCGAGCGCGCCTCATGGGCAGGATCGCCGTCTTGTCCACCCCCGCGAGCTCCTCCTCGGTCGGCCAGTCCACTGCGTCGTGCTCGACCCACTTGCGCCGCTCCTCCAGGTCGCTCGCGTCGAAAGCCGCCTTCCACTCCTGGGGAATGCTGCGGATCTCCCTACCCTTCTTGGGAGTGACCTGCTTCTTCGTCGTCTCGGTCCTCCGGGGCAGAAACGCGTCCCTCTGGCGATTCTTGACCATGACGAAAAGTGCCTTCTGATCCATCGGATCGTTTGGTACCTCTGGCAGTCGCATGGAGCTGCCCTTGAGAGCCTCGCGTCGTAGTCGTAGGCGTTCGCGATCTGCCTCCTGGTCGTCGGGAAGCGTTCGCTTGTAGCTGAGTCGTGGTGCAGGTTCTGGTTGCTCAGCTCGCTCTGGTTGCTGTTGATGCGGAATACCTGGCGCAGCCACCGCGTCCAGGCCCATGGAGTGCCCCTGCCCAGCTGCCGCAGCAGGTGGGGCTGTAGCTTGCTCTGGAGGAGACGGTCCTCCTTCCGGTGGTGGTACTTCAGGTAGGTCTCCAGGTGCAGGTACGTTCTCCTCCTCACGCTCCCTCTTTGGTGTCGCCTCGACCACTGGCCGTGGCGGTGGTGGAGCGGGCTCGGCGCGCGGTGCCTTAGCCGTAGGTGTGTCGATCACGCCGTCCTCGTGGTCCGAGTCCTTCTCGTCCCTCTCGCGGCGCACGCCCGTCTTGTCGCTCCCATCTGGCCCAGGTCCACGCTCATCGATGAACCCCTTCTGTAGCGTAGGTCCACCACGCCAGTGAGACAGCTGCCTGACCAAGTCCTCGTTCTCCACCATCTCCGCCTCACTGCGGGAGGCGCGTCGCACCTGCTCCGGCGTCACGGCACCCCGCGGTAGCTGAGGTGCAGCCTCGTGCGGCCTTCGGTCGCCAGCACGATCTCTGGCCCACGCCAACCGTGCTCGCCCTGGAGCCTCTTCGACTTCACGTGCTTCACCTCGCGCCAGTCGAACACCAGCTGGCCCGGCACGAATGGTCCACACGGTGGACGAACTCGGCCAACCATGGCCCTCCTGACGGCGTCATCGCTGTCCAGCTCGAAGAACGCCCGGTTCGCCGCCGCACGCATCTGCTCTGCTCTCCTCGGGCCCTCCTCGAAGAGAGCCGCGCTCAGTGATGCCAGCTGCCTCTGGTCGCCCTCCATCGCCTCGATCAGCGAGGCCGGGATGCCAGGCGACCTGCCCAGCACGTATTGGTAGGGGGTGAAGCCGTTCCGCCGAATGCGGTTTTTGCACGTGCTCGCTATCACCGATGTCCACACATGCGGATCGTCGTCCTTAGTGAGCTGCACGTCGCGGCTCAGGCGCTGGAAGTGGTCCTTGAAGAAGTCGATCGCGCGCTCCACTCGACCCTTGAGCTGGGGCGCCTCGGCTGGGACCGGCCTCATCAGGATAATATACTTCTCTCCGATCTCTGCGAACCGCTTCGCGATGTGACCCTTGGCCGCGTCGTAGTACAGCACCTTGGGTGGTCCAGCCCACGATAGCCAGCCTTGCGAAAGGCATCGCAGGCTCTCTTCACCTGTGATGGGCCTCACTGCAGTAGTAGGGATGATCACCTGGAAGCCCGACGCGTCGTCCAGAATCACCATGACCATCAGTCGGGTCCCGTCTGCTAGAATCACCTCGGCTTCGTCTAGGAACACGTTCTCATTGAATTCCGTCGAGAGCTTCAGGTTAGAGCTCCCCACCGTAGTCGGCCTGCCGAGCTCCTTGCACACGCCGCAGTCCAGCCTGTCAACCGCATCCAGCACTTGCTGCGACGCTCCGTAGGACTTCAGCCGACGCTTCAGTGCGTGAGCAGAGGGGTGGCTCAGGTTGAGGTGGAGCTTGTTGAGAGCGCCCCACTGGGCCGTGGTGATGTCCGAAGGCTTATCCCCGAAACTCTCACCCTCATGTTGTAGGTCTCGATGTGCCGTGTCAGCTTCACGATCATCTGGAGCAGAGGTCTTGGGCTTGCTCCCGTAGATGTGCACCGTCGCAGGGAAGGACGTCTGCACCTTCGGCTCCTTCACGTAAACTGCGATCGCCGTGTCGGTGGGGAACCGCTTGACCAGCTTGATCGTCCCGAAGCCCGGGTCGCCCGCGTAGGCGTCGCTGTAGTCCGCTAGTGCGCCCTCGCTGGAGTACATCGCGCAGAGTCGCCGCACTGCCCCGCGAGGTGGCGGAACCTCCTCGTCACCCGTCAACGCGCGCACGTCGATCAGATCTTTCCTCGGCGTGAACGCCTTGGCCACTGCATTCACGACCTGCTTGCTCGGGGACCTCGCCGCGCCGTTGCCGATGCCCATCTCCTTCGGGCTTGTCCGTCGCGCCAGCTCGTGCGTGCCGGCGCCCGCCAAGCCGCCAAAGCCTTGCCCAAGTCGTCTGGCCAGGCGCCCACTTGCGCCAGTGCCGTACTCCGCCCGACCATGTCGGCGCGCTGGTGGCCCCCGTCGCACCCGCGCTCGAGCCACCCAGAGAAACACGAGCCGTTGGGCACCATCATGCACGTCGGCTTGCGAATCGGGTCGCCGTAGTTGTCCACGAGCCCGTGCATGCACTGGCGTTGCGCGACCGCCTCGTAGAGTGGCGGCTGGTTCCCGCGCCAGCTCAGCAGGTCCACGATCGAGCTTCACGCCACGCCCGGCTGGTGGGGGGGTTCTCGCCGATGCCGATCCGTCCTCCCTGAGCCTGAATCTTGAGCACCTCCGCCGAAAAGTCGATCAGTGGCCGAGACTCCTGGACGAGGTCGTCCACCTTGTCGCCCATACCCTGGGCACGCTGTAACTCTTGCATGTTCGTGCGAGCGAAGCACGGGAATGCGACCGAAACCATCCAGGGCTTGAAGGTCCTAATCAAAATCAAGAAACCTGATCGCGTCCGAGGGTCGTTAAAGTTCACGCCAACTGATAGGTCCGAGGGGGTCGCATTCGCGTGACCACTCCTCGAAGCTACATGAGTAAAGCGAGCCTCCTTCGCGAACAACTCCCAGAGAAACGTCTCGTTGTTGTCCCGCAGTACATCGAATATAACCGCATACTCCTTCATAAGCTTGTCGATCCGCTTGAGCGTACCCTTCTTGAAGACCCCCTTGTTACCGTTTTTCGTTGCATCCTGGACCCACCGATCGGCGTCGTCCTGGAACCTGAAGTCTGGCTTGGACACCTGCAGCGTCTCCGCGACCAGGAAAACCTCCGGCTCGACTTTCTCGACGTGGATGCGGAACTTCTCGAGGAGGGGCTCCGCCTCGTACGACTCCAAGTCGCAGTCGAAGATGTCGATGCCCGCGTGGCCGCCGGGAAGCTTCACGAGCTCCTTGTCGCGCACCCCGAGCTCAGTCGGCCCACTGGCCGTCCTCGCGCAGGTACAGGTTCGTCTTCCAGTCCGCCAGGTTCTTCTTGCTCGTCAGGCCGATCATGTCGCCAGGGATCTCGAAATACTCTTGCAAGACATGCTTCTTGCCAATGCCGATCGGGATGATCCACTTCTGCTTCGCCTCGCGTCGTGCGCCGCCAAGCCCCTTGAACTTCTGGCTCGCCTCGACGATGATGTGCCTCAGACCATGCTTCTCGAGCTCCGCGGCGATCTTATCCAGCCAGCCGCGCCCTGCCACCGCCGCGGAGGCGCCGCTGTCCACCAGGGTGGCTGGCACGATCGCGCTCGAGATCATCGCGTCCACTTCTGGTACTTCAGGTAAGATCGGGTCGCTCTCCACATTGACCACCATGATGTCGTGCTCGGCTGGCTCCTGGAACTTCTCCGTCGCAGACTCCGGGTCCTGGGCGCCCTTCTGGTGGAACATGTCTGGCATGACACACACCAGGGTGGTCATCGCCCAGAAACCAAGCCGTCGTGAACGTGATTGAGCCTTCGAGGTCTTGCCGCGGCCCTTGAAGCCCTTGCCTGCCGGCCGCGGAGGTCGCGGCGTCGGGCAGCCCGGTGCGGCGTGGTCCATTCTTCCGCAGAAGGTGCACCTCTTGTCTTTGGACTTACCTTTGCCGCCGTCCTTGCCCTCGCCGCCCTTGCTTCCTTCCCCGGCCGCCTTGCCACCGGCCGCCGCACTCTCGTCCACTACTCCATCGATTCGTCCCTTGAAGGAACCTCGAGCCGCCCGGATCTTGTTCATCTTCAGCCTGCTCTCGCGCAGGGTGACGAGGGCCTGCTGGTACTCGTCGTCCTCGCTCGCGAGGTAGACGTCGGTGTCGTCCTCGATGTAGAACATGTCACTGCGGTCCCAGTTGTCGTCGTCCTCCGCGAACGCGTAGACACCGTGCTCTTCGTCCCACTCGTACCAGTAGCCGTCGTCGTCCTGGACCCAGTACCCGTCGTGCTCGACGTTCTGGTCCTCATCCTCCGGGTCGCGCTCGCCGTCATTGTAGTTCGCCCATTGCCAGCTCGTTCTCGCTCCCTGTCGATCCCGGTGCCGGCCTCCGCCTCGTGGGAAGAGGTTCTTCAGCGTCGTGGTAATCTTCTGGAAGTTGAAGGTCTCATCTGCCCGTGCTATCACTAGATTGCGCTCGTCCTTGTCCAATCCGCTTCTCTTCAGCGTGTGGTTCCCTAGTTCGTACGCACTGATCTTCGTATCTGGGTCCACTTCCTCGAGATTGCACTTCGCCGCCTCCATCGCTGTGCAAAACGCCGCCATCGGCTCTTCGCCCTTCTTCTCGAAGTGCGTCTGGTCGAAGAAGGCGTCGAACGCCTTCGGCAGCTCCCTGAAGCTGCTCTTGGCGAAGCGCTGCTCCTCGAGGAATCGTAATAATATCTGGGCGCCATCCTCCGTCGCGTAGTCCTTTGGGTTCGTCTGTTCGATCAATACGCTTATGGAGTTGTCTGCGCCCAGCAGGTTCCTATACAGCTTCGGACCGAGCGCCTGCTTCGACTCCTTACTCTCGCAGCTCAGCTCCGCCGCCTGAACAGCCCTCTTGTATCTGGTGAAATCCTTCAACGTCTCGCCCTTCAGCACCGGTATCTTCGGGTCGACCGCGCTGTTGTACTCGGCCATGTTGTCCATAGTCTCCCGCGTACGTAGTCTCCGAGATGGCTAGTCTCGATGTCCTCTATGTGTGTCTTGTGGAGCTGTGGGGCCAACCACAGGCTCCGCTACCAACCTCGTTATGGCTGGATCTCTCCCTCGCTCGATACTCCGTGTCGGCGAGGTTCGTCCCAGCTCGAACTCTGTCAACTCTGCCGAAACCTCTATGGCTCCTCTGCCCCGCTGCTGCTGCTGTGGGGGAGGGAAGCCGACGCTATTGCTCGAGCCCAAGCGCCGGCGCTGCATACACGCATGTTAGTTACTTGCAACATCCTAGACTCCCAGGGCAAGTCCTCCAGGAATCTTCAGAAATCACACCCCCCATTGGTCCAGCGGCACGGCTGCGGGAGACGGGGGCGGTGGAGGAGGCCAGGAGGATGAGGAGGAGTAGAAGGAGGAGGAGGAGGAAGAGGAGGAGGAAGAGGAGGAGGAGGAGGAGGCAGCCAGGAGGAGGAGGAGGCAGCCAGGAGGAGGAGGAGGAGGCAGCCAGGAGGAGGAGGAGGAGGCAGCCAGGAGGAGGAGGCAGCCAGGAGGAGGAGGAGGAGGCAGCCAGGAGGAGGAGGCAGGAGGAGGAGGAGGAGGAGGAGGAGGAGGAGGAAGAGGAGGAGGAGGAGGAGGAGGAGGAGGAGGAGGAGGAGGAGGAGGAGGAGAGGCGGCCAGGAGAGCGCCTGGCAAGGAGCCGAGAGGCCACCGCGGCTTGGAGCACTCCGGCGAGCACTGTCACAGCCGAAGCGAAAAGTCCCTGGGCACGCGGCAGAAGAAGGCGACCAATGCTGGGGAAGTGCAACGTGCTCAGCCGTCATGGTGGCGAAGCCAGCCCCGCGAAGGCCCTCGAGGAAGGGCTCCATGGTCCTACTGCGCGCGAGAGCGCCGCGGGGCTCCAGGGGCTGGGCACGCCTCCGGCCACGAATGTCCCCTGCAGTAGTTTGGGGGGCGGGTTCTGGGCGGCCTTGTGAGAAAGTGGGGGAAGGCTTGCTCAGAAGGGGCCGACAGCTGCCGGAAGGCCTCTCGGAAAGCAGGACGGCCTCCGCGAAGCCCACCGTCCTCTCAGAGCCCCCTTCCTCACCCCGCCCGCTTCTGCAGGCCGCCGAGCTTGCGGTGGCCGATCAGCGGCCGGGGCCGTCTCCTGCACGAGCCCGTCCCCCCGGCGAGTTCTGAGCTCGCGCCTGCCGCTCGGTCAGGGGAGGGCATCAGAAAGCGGCTCCCACGACGACCCCCTGGCTTTGGTGATGGGGTCGGGACCTCCTGGGGCACGTGGCACGAAACAACCATGGCATCAGATGCCGGGGCACCAGAGGACATCGAGGACGATATGGGAACGGAGAGGGCAAAGCGCAGGGGGGGGAGGGAGCCGCGAAGCGTTGGGCAAGAAGACACAGGGCGGCTCCCGGTACCGACGGTCGGGCGCATTCCGCTCGAAGCTCTGCCTCTAGGCCCCCGGCTCTAGCATCGTGTTCAGGGAGTCCACCTGGTTCTCCAAGTGACGCGCCTGTGAGCCCCTGACCATTCGCTACCCCTTCTGCACTCCGCCCCATTCCCACCCATAATCCCTTCCCGTGGCCATTTTGGCTCAAGGTCGATGGCCCTGGCCCAAGGGCTCTGGCTCTGCACAAAACTATCCAAACCATTCTACTCCCAACATTCCCAGCTTCCCGTCCTCATATCCGGATCTCCAGATGGCCAGCACGACGCTGGCGCCAGGGACACCAGCTGGAGCAGCTCTAAGGCGCGACGCTCGTCGCCGCCTCTTCAGCCAGCTCCACGAGATGGACAGGCTGGACGACCTTGAGTCTAGAGCCCTGCCCCGACCTGAGATACACCATATCTCTTCGCCGGTGCCCCCGAGCCATCAGGTGCCATCTGCTCCTCCAGAAGCCTTCCAGGCAGGAGTACCAACAGCAGAGGCCTCGGCATCCGTAGCGGCAGCCACTCCACTTGCCATCGAGGGCACTGCGACGCTGTTCGACAGCAAGTTCCAGTATTCCGAGACGTTCGCGCCATACATTCAGATGTGGCTCGGATCGACGACGCGGTGCTGAACATGGAGGCTTCGATGGAACAGCGCTTGACGGTCATTGATGCGGAGCCCAGCGACCAGAATATTCAGATCGTGGAGTTCTCGGCGCACCTATCGAAGGTACATCCGATAATATCCTCATAAGCTCCAGGCTCAGACAGCGCAGGCAGCATGGAAGTGATTTTTAAGACGTATGGAAGCACAACTCCAGAACCGCACTGACGGCCATAGCGGCGTCCATGCCCTTACGGCCGTATTCGGCAACCTGGCTGGATTAACCAGCCAGACAAATGCGGAAGAAGCGGCTCTACAAATGGATCTGGTATCTGAACGCACTCCCGTTATTCGCACTTTGATGCAAAGGTGTATTTTCAAGTATTGCGTTTGGGAGGTTTGGAACTATCGAGGAAGGGGGCTCGGCCATTACTAAGTTGTCGCATGCCAACAGAACCATCGGGGCAAAGAGTGGCCACCCCGTTCAAGTTCGCGCCACCTGGTCGGTGCTCTTTGGAACTGAGAAATCATTCGTGCAATGGGGTTTCAACCGGAACAGTTAGTGGGTAGACGGACATACCAACACCCTCACCCTGGGCAAGAACGAGGATGAGGCTTTCGAGGTAGCGGCGGAAGAGGACATGTTGAAGATCAATTTCGGGACGGGGTGGGAGGATTACCTGAAGGAGAACAAGGAATGAAAGAGTCGAGTGCAGACCTCAGCGCCATTAGGGAATTGCACGAGATTTCGGTTTTCAGATTGACCGCCAGCAGACAGGAGACACTGGAGGTCAAATGTGTCACCGTTCCTCTTCTTCTTCTTCTTCACGACCGCTTGTTCCATCATGTGTGGTCACTGTTATTGGTATTATTGTCCCTCTTCAGCCTATCATGTACCAGGCGGCGTTCGTCAGCAGCGAAGGTGCCCAAGACATTTTCGAGACTGAAACAGAGATCCTCGTCCGCGAGTTACAGTAGCAATTTGCAACATTGCATCCTGGAGCAAAGAAAGGCTCGGCTTTCCGAGAAACACACAAAACTAGAACATATCATGCGTATGATGAGGAAGTGTAACACTGCCGTCGTTGACCGCAGCAGGCGCACATCCCAACCGCACCATGTTGTATTGGCGACGGTCTCTTACTGATCTTAGCTGGAGGGCCAGAGGGGCAGCGAGGATATGCTGGTGTGGGTTTTATCATATCGCCTTGGGTCTGGCATGCTATCGTGTGTTTCACACAGTACAGCGACCCATTGGCCAAGGTGAACATCAGAATTCCCGGCGGCTCTCTGTCAATAATTTGGGCTTCAGCCCCCACTCAGGAGTTGCATTCGAAGAACGGGACGGCTTCTTCACTAATTTCCTCTTTCGGCTACGAGCACCAGCGTGCACCGTCCCATCTACAAGTTTGGTGACTTCAACGCGCGGCTCTTTAGCGGGATCCATGAGGAGTCCGATGTGGTAGGCAGGCATGCTTGGGGCAACTCCGAGGCGACAACTGGGGCCCCAAGCAACCAGCACATGCTGATCGAACACTGCACGTTCCTGGATTCCATTATCGTGAACACGTTCTGCGAGAGGCCCTTGCAAGAGAAAACTATGTATTTTCACACAAGTCCAATGAACACTCCGACACCAGCCAAATTCGCAGAGACAAACCATCTTCTGGTGCAAAAGCATGGCGGAATTCGGTTTTTAACATTCGTGTTGACCGAACTATAGGTTTTGCCTTGCACCGCTTTCAAGTGACAGCAGCGCTAAACGTATAGAGATCCCGAAAACTCGGGCGAAACAACGAAAGTTGACACAGAATTCGAATTCGCGTAAGCGACCCTGGGCGCAAGGCAAATTCGCAGCCGCCTTCGTGAACGCCACCGCTCAACGCGTAGAAAGCGGCTTGGGTCTGGCCGATTGGGCCAGGGGAGTTGCAACCAATTTCAAGACAGCAGCGGGCGCGTGCCTCAACTAACAGCCCGTACTTGCGCAACCGCCGTGGATTCGCGTGGCTACGTTGGGCTTGAATCAAGCCCAACGTAGCCACGCGAATTGATTGATTGCTCTCCAGGACCAAGCTCCCGCCCGCAATCAGTATACGAGTTGCAAGAATCGTTGGCCAAACAGGTTCATCAATGATCGCAGCGGGACCAGACGGCCTGGATTGAAGAACTGCTTGGCTCTGGCGAATGGAGTAACCGACGGACGCTCAAACGCCAGGGTGTGCAGCCGTAGGGTCGTGTAAGGAACGCTCAAGGACGACGCGTGGCAAGTGCAGATCCACTGGACACATTGGCAACGAAACTGCCCCGACGTGCGGCCCGACGTGCAGTGGATGCCGCGACCCATGAGACACACTCTCCCCAGTGGAGCACGGTTTGGCGGACCTCTGCCGGCCTCGTTTGCCAATTTCTCGGCTGTTGAGTTGTATGCCGTTTTGGGGAACCCGACGACAGAAAAAGCGGCAAGCACCGACGACGTGCCACCTGAATTCTGGAAGAGACTCCAAGACCAGCAGTACACGTGCGAGGTCATCCCAGACGTGTGCAAAAGCTGCGGCAATTAGTTCCAAAAAGCTGGCGCCACTCAATTGCAACGGCGACCTTCAACAAACGAAGTGGGTCTCCCCCGAGAAGATTACGGACCCATCTCGTTCCTCGCGGTCGTGTGCAAAGCTCTTGCCTCGCTCATATTGGGTCGCCTCGTAAGCAACGGGGCAGGGAGCTGCCTCTGCGACACGCATTTCAGCTTCCAGGCCAAGCACAGCTGCACGGACGCCGTCTTCCCCATGCAGCGGTACATTGAGAGGACATGGTCGACGAAGGACGGGTCCTGTCTGCGATCCTGATAGACTGGTCCAAGGCTTTTGACCGAGTCGGCCCGGCAACGATGCACGTTGCTCTCGGGCACCCTGGTGTGCAGGACCACTCCTTGGCAATGATCTCTGCCGTTTATGACAGCCGAACGTTCGAGGTTGGTGATCGACAGGGCTATTCAGCAATTTACTCACAAGGACGAGGGACTGGCAAGGGTGCCCGCGAAACGCTTGTTTGCGTTACTGGCATGGCTGCTTTGCTCCCAATCTGGCAAAACCTTCCAACAACTTACCACAATTTCGCAATCCGGGTATGCCTCCGTGCCGTAGGCGCTAAGTCGAGTGCCCTCAGCTCCCGTCGAGCTCCCTATGTTGAGAAATCTAGAGAGGTGCCTCTTCAAGGGGGCCAAGAAAACGACTTGCCCTACTTTGTCGAGATCGTCGTTTTACCTCTGGGGCTTCTCGCGTCACTTGTCGAGAGGCCAGAAACGTCAATCCAAGAGAGCCCAAGGAAACCCGAAGGTCGCTCCAAGAAGGCCCAAAATGCCATCAGGACGTCCGAAGGAGCCTCCAAGGCGCCCAACGAAAAAGACGGCCTAAACGACCCCCAACATAGTTCTACGACGGCCCACGACGCCATCAACATGATCCCAAGACTGCCCAAGAGGGCTCCAAGCTGGCCCAGGAGGCCGCCACGACAACCGAAAAAGCATCCAACAAGGCCCCAAGAACGGCCTAAGGGAAGTGAGCGAAGCGGCCTTGGGAGCTTTTCACCCCAGGAGCCCTCCCGAAGACGCCCGCAATTTCCAAAAGAGGCCCCCAAGACGCCCCACCCCTTTCAAACGAGCCCCGAGAAGCCCTAAGAGCCCCCATACAATCAACATTGATAGCAAGGATACGCCATAAGGATGCAAGCCCCTTGGACGACCATGTGGAAGCTTTTCGAGCAAGGCTGGTCATCGAACGTGGGCAAGGATGGACCGAAGCGGCAAGGATGCAAGGGTATCCTGTGGAAGGCCACCCATCCTTGACATTGATTTCGACTGTATAGAGGCGTCCACGAGGCCCCCGAGACGCATCCCAAGAGATCCCACCAAACATCCAAGAGGCCTATGGCCCACAAACAAGGTACGGTGGCGGGATGTGCCGCAAAGCACCGAGATAGTACCAGATAGTCATATGGCCTGCAAGTTTTGCCCAGCAGTGACACGAGGGCGACGTCGCCAGCTCTCTGAAAACTTGCCGTAGTCATGTGCAGGCCAATGAAAAGCCACGCCAACACAGAAGAGCAAACGGAACCACAAATCAGAACTGCATTCGCAACCGCAATATTCGAGTCGTTGACTTGAACGGCTTTCACAATCGACAACCTCGCGATGAAAAACGACCTCTACGGGCTGCATTGCGCAGCCTACCCAACCCCGAAAAGGCACGATTCGAGACTGCTTGAATCATAATTGCTGCAGCCTGTTCATTCGAGATTTCTCCGAAACTTTCTTTGTATGAACGCGGATTGCGTGAGATCGAAGAGCTGCGCAAGAGTGAGCAACAACATAAAGATCAAATGGGATAACTAATGGACCAACGGATCGCATCCCAAAGGGACATCCAAGGCGTCTCTTGGACCCTCTGGTGCGAGGGGGGCCGGAAAGAGGAGTACAAAGACATCGCCCTGGAGACCCGCTCGGGCAACCAATGACCAGTACGCCCGTGAACTCCAAGAACGAAGCCGAATGACACACGAGAGGCTTCCAAAGACGCCCAAGAAGTCCCGAGAGTGTCGCCGCGTGTCCCGTTCCCGCGTGAAGAAAGAGCTCCACTTACAACTCCGAAGAATACGTCCCTATCATATCCCAGCCACCTCGACGCCAGGGGTGAATCAGCGTGTGATTGGACCTCACTGCTCCTTCTTCTCCTCCTCCTCCTCCTCCTCCTCCTCCTCCTCCTCCTCCAGGAGGCTCCGAGAGGTCCGCCCAGAGGTCTCGGAACTCCAACAAGAGAGCCGACGAGCGTCCAAACACATCCTCCCCCTCCCTCCTCCCAGCCCCTGGCCTCCACGCAGCACGACACTGCGCAAAGACCCTGCCCATGGTCGTCCTCCTTTCCAGGCCTCGAGCGCCGCTATTGTATCACAACGTGGACCGGGAGTCTCGGCCATGTCCCTGGCACGGGCTTTCCATCCTGAGTCGCTTTTGAAAATCCTTCCTTCTGGCGCTCTAGCAGAACACCATTTCTTCGGCCACGGCGTGGCGTGTCGCAGTCAGCAAGTATTGCGATACCACGTGATAGTGGCTACGTGCTCATGTGCGTTTCGTACTCAGCATTTTGCTTGCTTGCTTGAGGCCACGTGAGGGCCTCCGAAGGCCGAGTACAACGAGAAGCAGTTCGTCGTGATTCTCTCGCCACGTGTGTGTGTGTGTGAGTGTGGAATATCATCCCTCCCCTGGCTGTGAGCCACGGCCGTTCGCGCGTGGCTGGAAGCAGCCCTCTATCGGATCCGCAGCCCCTCCTCCAGCTCCGCGACCTGCCACCTGGTAGCGGCGATCGTGTACTTGGGGTCACGCGGGTCGTACTCCTGGATGTTGTCAAGGACTGCCCGGGTCGGCTGCACGCAAGAGTGACCCTAGGCAAATATGGCCTTCGATGCGCGGCTTGCCGATCGGTGCATGCGATGCGGCAGTAGAGGCCTGCGTGCCTGGGTTTGACCTGTGTGAGCGTGTGTGAGCGCCAGCGTGTGCTTATCCACCACGGCCTAATTTTAAATGCGACACATGCGACGCAGGGAGGGCCCCAGGCCCGCACACGCTGCGTGGTATAAGACATGGTAGGCGGGGCAACACACACACACACCCTGGCCTAACAGACGTCCTGAGGACTCTGACTCGGGTCGCTCCGCCGTGTCCTCCTGCACGGCACAACTATCTGGGAGAGGGGAGGAAGGATGGGAAAACCCAAAAACAAATGAGGCAAGATCAACCAACATCCAACCGGAAAATCGGATCGAATCAGAATGTACGTCGGACCGGGCCGCATCGGCACGAAGTCGGAATCGGATTGGATCGGCCGCGCCAAGAAACACATCAACGTCACGCAATTATGATCGGATCGCCAGAATACTGGGATCGAATCGGATCGAGCCAGCCGAAATCGATCTTGAGACGGACTGATCGGATTGCAGTGGACCCATCGAGGAGCTCGCAAATCACAACGCGCGGTCCGCAGACAGACGGGGGCGAGAGCGATGCCGAAACAAGATGTCTCGCATTGCTGGCTGAGACGAACACGCGAACTCTCACAACACCTGCCATGCTCGAAGGTGCCCCGCACGTTTTGGAGTCGCTGGGGCACCCCTGAGCCTCGACGGTATGGTCACCACCCTCCTGCACATCGTGCTCGGGACCGTCGGGTCGGACCCCTTGTCCGAAGCGAAGACTGCTCCCAGCAGTCATGGTGACGAACATCAGATTTCTTGGGAAGAAGTCATACTACTTGACCCGTGCGGCAGAGTAGTGTGTACAGCTGAACCAGGTGTTCGGCAAGATGGACTTTCAGATGAGTACTTCTCCGACGACCCACTATGCGGAGGAGGAGTCAAACGTGGAGGGAAGAGTGCTGCTAAAGTGACGAAGGGGCGTCGCGAAGTTGCAGATCTTGCCAACCAGGTGAATCAGATCACCACAGTTTTGAACAAATTGACTGAGAAGATGGGCGTGGAGTCTCAGGTGGCTGTGGGGAAGCCGCCAAAGAAACGCACGGCCAAGCACACACAAGTACCGCCGACACTCCAGAAGATACGAGAGTACCTTCGGTACGTGCGGGTCAACAACATCAAGGTCACGGAGGAGCAAGTGCAGGACAAGCTGCGCGGCCTCCTCACGAGAACCACGGCGGCATCGACGTGGCTCAATGGGGGACCTGCGGCGGAGAAGCCACAGGATACAAAGTTGGTCGTACATTCTCAACCGTGGGGCACGGCGAAGATTGTCAAGGCCGCTAATATCAGGACGACGACACTAGATGGCCCAGCGGTCATCACGTGCCAGTCGGCCACGGAGTACGAGCAGGCAACACAGTGGCTCGGATCCATCAAAGAGCAGCCCAGCGGGATGACGTTCATTGTCTTCAATGCACCGTCGATTTTGACAGGGGCTACCACTACCGAGGTCATGTGTGAGACATCTGCGGGGGTCAGACCACACACGGCCCAGATGATTACGACGGGGACCTCGCCACCGACACGCCAAGGGTTACCAACAGGCTTGAAGGATGACGAGGCCTCGACTGCACCGCCCTTGGCCACAGCAGCCTTACGCCTCACGATCGCAGAGGCGTTCGCTGATGATGCTACGTACGCAATGGTCAAGGAGAAACCAGTGGCAATGGCGACAGTACTATTCCCTCAAGTGCTGGCGGCCAAGATTTTGAAAGTTAAAGGAGCAGTCAACTACCCGACGGAGTCGACGGCGATTATCCTTGTGCGAGAGAGTGATACAGATGTATTTTTGAAGTGGACAGCCCCGTCTGGGGTATTTTTGAATCGACAATCTAGTAAGCTGGTGCCAGTCTGGCACAAACTACGTGACGGCGAGAACATGATGACGTACCTCACCAGGGTGACCGCTGCGGCCGCACAGGTCGAGGGCAGATTGGTGTACCGCCCGTCAGATAACGCATCTTTGGGAATTCTATCTCAGAAGTCCATGGCAGCCGACATCCAACCCCGATGGTATTTGCAGAAGTGCCCAGAGCACTGGACGACACCACAGGAGGTCGAGGAGTGGGCCAAAGCCAGAGGGTTCCAGAGCATCGACGGTATCACACGATCGAGTAAAAGAGCCTGGTTCCTACGAGCTGATCTGGACGGATTGGTCAAGGATCAGGTATGCACTTTCAAGTCGGGGATCATAGCGAGCCTAGCTGTGCCTCGCAGAACATCATCAAGACCGCCCCCACAGGCCAAAGGAGCATCAGCGTGGGGGACCCCCGCGCCGGCCAGAGCTCCAGTGCAGGAGGCGACAACGGAGGTGAAAGCAGAAGTACATGACAAAGATGGTGATGTGGACATGGAGAAGGCTGAGGAGGGCGATCAGAAGCGACCGCCGAAGCCTGGCTCAGCAGCAGCAGCCTCAGCAGCAGCAGCAGCCCCACCCCAAGCTCCACAGGCGCCTACGAGGCCTCCATGGGAGGCATACTTCAACGAGAAGTGCTGCGGGGGAGACGGAGATTGCTTTTTCCTGACGGCCTCCCACGGCATACGAGCGAACCAATCCAAGCCGAAGCAGATGGCGGAGAAGGAGTTGGGCCCTGGCGGTGCACTCCAAGCCAACCTGCGCATGATCGTGTCCGCCAGCATGACGGACAACAAACGCTATCCCCAGGACGAGGCCCGCAAGGCAGCCAAGACAGGGGAGTGGGCCACATCGGCCATGGTGAGAGCAGCAGCGGTCACCACGAAGACGAACTTCGCTATCTGGAAAAAGTCCCGCACTGGAACATGGACCTTGTATACCGCCCCAGCGGACATCAAGACCAAGCAGGTAGTGTGGGCCACGTTGGTGGACAAGCACTACAAACTTCTTCTCCCAAAGGCGGGTGTTGACCTACCCCAGGAGATTTTGACAAGATGGACGACTGCGGCATTCCCATATCCAGCACGATTTACAGGAGGAGGAACGGGCAGCGAACCACACACACCATCAGCGCGAGCTCCGTCGATCAGAGGAGCACGCAGCATGCTGGGACTCAGCCCAGCATCGACCAAGAAGACAGCGAGAGCTTTGAATGCAGCCAGGAGTTTGCTGGGTCTCAGTCAGTCGGGGCGTTCTAAGACCTCGAAGGCGACGGCCAAGGCATCCTCGAAGCCAACGGCGAAACGACTGGCACGCGCTAGGAGTGTTCTGGGACTATCAGTGGGTGAGGAAGCTGTCGACGATCCTCTCCCTGATCATGATCTACCAGTATGCCGCCCTGAGCGCTACAATTATTATTTTTGTGAATGTGGGTGGAAGCCCGATGGAGAGCATGCACCCTGTCACGTTCTACAACAAGCACGAGTACACTGGCGTGCCTGTAAGGGCACACCACCGCCAAAGGAACCACCTGAGAATAGGGCAGCACGGTTGAGGGCGGTGACCAGCCTATCATACATGGATAAAGGAAAGCGAGACAAAGCTTGGAGGAGGTACACTACATGGTACCAGTCTCTACCTGAAGATGTGAAGCCCAGCGTCTGCCAGATCACGGAGGACAACGTGGAGACGGTCAGGGACGGCAAGCAGGGCAACACAGTATATACTTGTACGAGGTGCGGCAGGCGCAAGCCACTCGCCAAACATATCCTGAAGAAAGGCAATACCGCGTGGGCAGTCTGTGCCAGGCGACCAGGAGATCAACGCAAGATCAAGGATGCCACGCACGATGTCTGGACCAGGATGGTCAACAGGGACTACGCGGACCAGATCGTGGAAGCACAGAAGAGGACGCGGGAAAAGCAGAAGCGCAGACAACGTACACCAGAGATGAAGGCCAAGCGCCAAGAGTACTACAAGAGGCGAAAGCTGATGCGGATGCTACGCAGACCTGCAGCAGTGGCTCCCAGCGAGGTGCCCGAGCAGGAGGAGGCAGCCGCGGCCTCAACATCGTCGTGACGGGACCCGCTCCTGGGAGGAGGAGGCCATCTTGCAGAAGGTCACGATGACTCCCAGGGGCAACCACCGCCCAAGCGGCAAAAGAAAGCTTCGACAAATGTGGGGTTGACTACCCAACGGGGGGAGCGGTGCGAGCGGGGACTGCCCGGCGTTGCGCCGTTAGTGACCCTCGCACCGTTACCCCCCGACACAGTTTCAAAGAAAGCGAGGGCTACTACGGCTTCGGGGGCTACTACGGCTTCAAAGAAAGCAAGGGTCATGGACATAAGTGCCGCAGACCCGTCCCAGAATTCAAAGGCTGTATTTGCAGACCAAGCAGTTTCTGAACTTGCTCCAAAGACTGATTTTTCTAGTTCTTCGAATTCAAAGACTGTATTTGCAGATCAATGCCTCGACGTGCACAGGGAGGCCAAAAGGCAGCGGTGTGGATCGGCGGAGCGGCGTCAGGGCGCAAGTCCTGGGGAAGCCCCGAATGCGAGGGAACACCCCAGGCAGCGTCGCCACGTTTTGCAAGCCTGGGGAAGCCCCGAATGCGAGGGAACACCCCAGGCTCGGGACGCTACGGCAACTTCTTCGAGGGCTGCGACGAGACCGACGACGACACCAACACCATCGAGGAGATCATCGACGCGGAGTCCGAGATCCTCCAAACGCTTCAAGAGAGGTATAGAAGATGAAGTGGAATACCCTGACCATCGGGTTGACCAGGCTAAAGATCAAGCCAACGAGACCGAGCCCCAGGGCTCAGAGAACGACCAGGGCGAAAACATCGATCGCCTGCAGGTAGCCACGATCAACGTCACCAGCATCTCAAAGGCCAGATTGTCGGAGATCCTGGACAATGTTGCAGACGACGTCGGCGTACTATGTCTTCAGGAGATACGACTCCCCGACATGAGGCCGAGGTGGCTGATCAACTTCTGTGCTCGACGAGGGTGGGGCGCAGCGTGCTCGAAGCCCCCTCCTCCTGGGGCGAGAGTGGCAACGACACAGGGCGGCTGTGCGATCTTGTGGCGACGCGCCATGGGAAAGATTAGCGTCATCAGGGACGACAAGCTCGACCATCGGATGGTTGGGATCAGAACTACCAAAGCGACAATCTTGAGCATGTACGGACCACAGTGGTACGATCGACCATGGTTTTTGTCAGCTCTGGATTATGCCAAATCACTGGGCCATCTGGGCCACCCCCTCTACATCATAGGGGACCTCAATTGGAAAGCTTCATATAACACATTATTGGATATTGGATGGCAGCTGGACGTATCGCAGGACCAATCTTCACAGGTGACCACAGCGGTAGGTACAGCTCCGACGAGGGCGTTATCATGGGGAAACCCGCAGGATGCCCCACCCAAGTACCTGGGCGCCAAGCTCTTGCCAGGCATCCCCCACCATGCAATGGTCAAGTATCAGTTGGAGATACCATGCATTACTATCCCACGGTACCGACTACATCATACGGCTTCCTTCCTACCGGTGGTCAACACCAGGACGGTTACGGCCGAGTACAAGAGCCTCTTGCAGGAGTCGCTGGATGCAGTGTGCGCAGCTCCCCATATTGGCGGGGCAATCGACCTGGATCTTAACGACGACACAGATGTCCCGCTGGTCACGAGGTGGCACTATTGGCACGAGCGAGCGGAGGCAGCACTCAACATCGCAGTTGAGAAAAAGATGGTGGAGATCGATCGCCTACCTGAGAGGAGCAAGGGCTCCCGACCCACGCAGAGGCCAGCAGCACATGGACCTCGGTTTCGACCAGAACAAAGTATTGCACACAGGCGTCTTCTCCGCCTCCATCGCCGCTTCTCGGAGGCACTCAGGCAGGGAACGTCAGCGATGGCTGAAGTCTCTCCACGGCACTTCATGGATATTGCCAGAGCCGCCTTCGAGGGTATTGTCAACATGAAAGCAGAAGGTATTCCTTGTTATGCAGATTGCCTCCAGTGGCTGACGGCAGCCATACAAGCGGAGAATATTAAGTTGCAACGTGAAGCCCAGAGATCTTGGAAAGAAAAGTTTGCAGCGTGGTCCACAGAGGTGTACAAAGTGGCCACGCCTATGTTCAAGCAAGCACCCCCAGCATCATCGTGCCACGTCTCGCAGTTCGCCGAGGAGTGGGAAGCACAGTGGAAGCCAGGGAATGTTGACAAACAAGCGCACCTTCGAGCATGGCAACATCGCGCTGATCAAGTTGAGTTTCCCAAGTCGACTTTACATGAGATGTGGCTGCCAACGAAGGAACAGTTTGACGAAGCGCTGAGAAGCTCCAAGGGCTGTGCTGGATTGGATGGGTGGTCCTTCAGAGAGATTCGTATCCTGGCGGACCTGTACCCAGAGATCATTGCAGAGCTCTACACGTTGTGGTGTGATACTTCCAGGTATTGCATTGAACATGAAGGTTGTCCACCAGGAGAACTCCATGATCTGGTTTTCGCCTGGAGAGTGGCGGGCATGCCCAAGGGAGAGGATGACACGAGGCCTATCAGCGTGGGTAGCGTGTTGCTACGTATATGGCTCAGAGCATTGGCATTTGCAGCTCCTGAGCCGCCAGAGGGCCAATGGGCTAATCGAAAGCAGATATCAGTCACTCACGCGATCAGCCAGTGGTTGAGACATTGTGAATTGAGCTCGGATGGATGCGAATTGGATCTCAACCGTGCTTATGATAATATCCTTCATGAAATTGCGAGTGCTGCAATGGAGCGTTCAGGTTACCCCCTCGCAGTACGATATGTATGCAAATCGGCATGGAAAGGCCCTCGGTGGTGCAGCCTCAACGGAGAACTTGCAGAGAGGGCAATATATGCAGAACGAGGTTTGCCACAAGGAGATAGCACAGCACCTGGGACCATGATCAGTACCCTTGTTCCTTGGATCACGTCTGGCCCTTCAGGATGCTTTATGGACGACCGCTACATCGTTGGGGATAGCCCGCAGGGGCTGCTGGACGATATGGCTCAAACATCTACCTTCGACAGTGAAGTGGGTTTCAAAGCGAACAACAAGAAAACGCAGGTATGGTCCACCACGGACGCAGAGCCGCAGCAGATCGAACATCTTGGTCTCCTTGCTTGCCCTACCGACGTGACACGGGCCATCATACCAAAGGATAAATGGGCCAAGCTACACACTGGGATTTCTATTCTTCAGTCAGTGCCTGGATCTTGCATGGTGAGATTGCGGTTGGCCTATACATACCTAAGACCTCTTTGGACGTGGGGAACTCCTATTGTGACACCTCCACCGACAGAGACGGCAAAGCTATTGGCGAGAGCAGTATGGCGTACCCAGAATACATGGTGGTGCCTGGGCAGATGGTGGTGCCAGAACATCATGCTACACCCAGTATACTCGTGCAGCCTCTTTGCCTTCAGACGTCTACATGACGAAAAGCTGGTTTGGTCATCTTTCTTAGAGAATTCTATCCAAGTTCACGCTAGAACCCTGGGCTTGGAGTATATACGATTTTCGGATGAACGTGGAGTTTTACTGGAAGTCTCACATATGGACGACTTCAGAGTATTGCAGATTGTGGAAGGTTTGGCGGACGCTCAACACAGATTTTGGACGCACTCCAAGAGAGCACAACATGTCCTTCGGGTCATTGCTAGGATCAGGTGCCTTCAAATCGTGGAGCCCCGCAGGAAAGATTCGGAGGAGGTCGAGTCAGTGGATGTCGACGCCTGCAGCAATAAAGTGTTCACAAAGTGGTTTCATTCATTGAGTATTGCCGAGAAGTTCAGCCTCTCAGTGTACCGCTCAGGGGCGGCTTCGTCGGAGACGCGTCGACAGACAGGGCTACCGTGCCCACATTGCGGCCACTTGTGGCCATCTATACGTCATCAGGTCGTGGAGTGCCCGCAGTGGAGCGGGCTCAGAGCTGATCTCTCTTCAAAGTACGATTTACCGCCCACGTTCTGGACCAGCCTTCCAAGGGTTTCGGCCAAAAGTGGGTGGATCACGTACGCGGCAGACCCCGCGTCAAATATCAGAAGAGCTACCATGCTGAGGGCCATCTGTGAGATGGGCATCGGCATCATTGGCAGCGGACTTGAAGGACGACTTCATGACCCAGCGCCGCCCCCTGTGCGGCGGCGGGTACGTGTTGCTGCGTAACTACCACGAGTGGATCTACCCCATTGTCAGGGTATTCCACCTCATCTTCTATACACCCCTGAGCCTCGTGACTGGTGCTCGGGGGTTCGAAATCGAAGGTTTTTGGCGCTTCGTGCAATCCTCAAGGTTTTCTAGCCCCGGGCTATGCTGTTCCCATCGTACTCAAGGACCACATCCCAGAAATCATTCCGAGCACCCGGAAAAGTGTCGAAACCGTGTCGAAACAGTGTCGAAACGGTGTCGAAACAGTGTCGGACGAGTGTCTCCCAGGGCCCGACACGTGCAAACCCTCGAGCTTCGGTACTTTTTTGGTGCCCCAAATTCATGCTGGTGATCAAGGCTAAAGTAAATATCGTTTAACCGATCCCCATCCCCAGCGGCGTGGCCTGGGCCCCACTGGCCGACTGACCCCCCTAGATGGGGATGTAGGCCGTTCCCTTCTGGTTCCGAGGGGTGTATCCCCAACTGGGGTGGTGATTTGGTGGGGGTCTCGAAAGGGATGGGGATGGGGATTGGTTGAACGAGACTGACAAAGCAGGTTGGAACCTCCTAGGTCCCGGGATGCCCTCCAGCCACTTCGCCCTGCGGACGCCGCCGTTCCTGGGGGTGCCCGAATCATCGCCCCGACAACGGACGCCGCGGAGCCGGGCAGTGGCCTGGGCGCCAGGACCCCAAGGCTAGGTCGGGCACGTCCCCCTACAGCAGGAGCTCGACCACAAGAAACCGTCGCAAGAAACCCAACCCTGAGGCCCCAGGACGTTCCTTCATTTCTGGTGTGGGAACGTCACGCTTTCCATCGCAAAACCATCAAAACCCAAGAAACCCAGGGCATTCTGGAGGCCAGCAGGGTGTTTCTTGGCGTGGGCTCCCACTGTACGGGTTGGACGAAAAATAACAATACCCCAGAAATGTGCCAAAAATCCCCAAAGATAGTCAAAGCATCGTCCCCAGACTATGTTTTGACTATCTTTGAATATGCCTCCTGTAGAGGGACGGGCCCGACTTAACCCGAAGGGTTCGTAGAGAATCGCAGCGGAGTGCCTGCAGAGGGCCCTCAGGCTCAGCAGTGACATTGACTCAGGACGGAGTTTCCCTCAGATCCTGGCGACTCAATTTTTCCGTGCCAGGTTTTTTCGCGTAAGTTCGGGCCCTGGGACCCTCACGAATCGATCCGACTCGAACAATGGCACAGAAAAATAGGGTCTAGGGCTCCAGGCTAGATTTTCACGACGTCTCAATTTTGTTTGAGACGTCGGATCTCAGGGTCTGTCCTCAGGATGGGCCCCCTGCGGTGCGGAACTTTTTTGCTCAATGTATCGCGGCGGCGGCCCCGGCGACACGCGTGATGCCCTGCGAGCTGATGGCGCGTCGCTCCGCTCAGCAAGGCGGGAAGCTGGGAAAGGCTCAGCACGTTGAAGCTCGGTGATTGGGGAGTGGTTCGCGTGTCGCGTCGAAGCGTGGTGGGTATGACCTGCGACGCGACACGCTGAGCAGAACTTCCTGGCCGCAATCCTCCGCGGGCCCACGTCGTGAAACAGATCCGCCACCGTCCCGCTGGGCACGGAGCGGGCGTGTCCTCGGGTCCTTTGCCTCCTCCTCGAGACTCAGTCTTGCAGTCTCCAGGAAACTTTCAGGGGCCCGACGCCCCACTTCAAAAATACCCCGGGGCTCGCCGCGTGCCCCCCGAGTTCTGGGGCGGTTTCCCGCATGATTTTCTCTGGCCCAAAGGGGCCCCAAAGACGGGCCGAGAGGGCCCCAAGAGGCCCCCGATACGATCCAAGAGGCCCAAGATAGCCTCAAGACGGCCCAAGAAGCCTCCGAGACGCCGCACGGGAACCCTAAGAGCCGTCCCAAGAGGGTCCCGAGAGGCCAAAATCATTGAATCTCAACGGCCAAGACGACCCAAGAGGCCCCCAGGAAGGGCCCAACACGGCCCAAGAGGGCTCCAAGACGGCCCTGGAGGCGCCCAAGACGGCCCAAGAGGGCCCAAACACAGCCCCAAGAAGGTCCCAAGAGGGGAAACAAGAACCGAACATCCAAGTCGTCCGCCCCAAGCGGCCCCCAGGAGATCCAAGGAAGCTCCAATTGGCCCCCTAAAATCCCCCCAAACCCCCAAAACGGCCCCGAAGACGCCGCAAAACGGCACCCAAGAGGCTTCAGAACGACCGCTAAGAGGCCCCCGAGAGGCTTCCCGCGACATCCCAACGAACATCCTAGAAGCCTATGGCCCACAACCCAGGCACGGTGGCGGGATGGGCCGAAGGCCATTCGATAGCGACGTCGGCAGCCTTTGTCTTGGCCTCCCCGGGCTGGGGATACCCTGGTGAGCGCAGCTTCTGGCAGCCTCTGGCATGCGGGCAACTATGGCCAGTCTGCCATCTCATGACAGGGAACGTAGAAAGGGGGGACTGGCTCAGGGAACGAAGCATCAAGCTTGAATCGGCGGTACATCGCCAATAAATCGGCGTAAGGCTCTCAGTAACGAATTCGCACGTTCCTGGGCGGGCCGGGTTACCATATCAGACCCCTGTCGACGATGAGTTGGCGATTACGGCCGATCCACCCCCATGGGCCTATCCCCCTCTAGCGCCGCCCCTGATCCCAAGCAAAAGGAATAGCCAGAGGGTCATTCCAGCATCGCACGGATGCGAGGAGCAGCAGCAGAAGCAGCGAACACACCAGGAAGGAAGACGAGGAGGCTGCAACGAGCGAACGAAGTAGCCACACGCAAAACGCGCGTGGGCAAGACCTGGCGAGCATGGGAGCAGCGCCAAAGGCCAAACGCGCTGGCTGGCGGACAGGGGGCCGCAGGCCCCCCGAAAACACAACGCGACCACCGACACCTGGCGCGGGAAGCCTGCCCCCGGCAAACCTGCAGTCGCAGCGGGCACATGTGCCCCAACGGGGTAGCAAACACACAGGCTGGGACTGACCAGTGTCCCCCCCAGCTACGCTCGCGTGTCGCGGAGGCTGGGAGGCGCGGGACGCTGCTGCTTCGGGACCGGGGCGTGGCGAGCGTGTCGCGCCGAGGCGCGGCGGGCCAGGACCGGCGGCGCGAAGCGCGGAGCAAGACGTTCCTGACCGTGTCGAGTGTGGCCCACCGATGGCGCCAGCAGCGGCGCGCCACCAGGAGGCAACCAGGCACGGGAAGCAGAAGCCCCGCAGCCCAAGCCTCGAGCAGCACGGGCGGGGGAGCATCGGCGACTCCGCGGGGTGCGTTTGGCAAAGGGTGTGGTCTGCAGCGCGCACCCTGCGGGGCGGGCGAGGACCTCGACTGCGCACTTCGCCACGCGCCGAGGAGGCCAGGCCAGGGACGCGACGCGCCCCAAACCCCAACGGCGCAGATGGCAAACCACATCCCCGCGCAACCACACCCTGTGTCGTCGCCCAAAGCCCCCAGCCGCACGGGCGGGGGAGGAGGTCAGCGCATAGTATGAGTTCGTCCTCATCTACGGCCACCCCAAGGCGGATGCACGGGTCGGCGGAGGGGAATGGGTGGGCCCGCCTGTCGCGAGCATGCCGGAGTCAGGGGCGGCGGAGGAGGAGCAGCGGCAGCAGCAGGGGCAGCCCCCACCCCCCGCGGTGCTTTTGAGCGACTGCACGGCCACCCTGCTCTTCAGGGCGTACGCCCCGCAGTTCGCGAACCTTCCGGGCGGGTCGGCGCGCGCGCAGCGGCGGCGAGGCCGCCCCACCCCCAGGAGCCACCAGGAAGAGATCGGGCCCTGGAGGAAACCCAGACCTCCGACGATACTATTTTTTAGCCAGCGGTTTTTGCTCGGTTTTGGCCCTCAGAGGCAGTTGTCGCGCACTGGGGCCAAAACAAATAGTTCTGGGGCGAAAAACTACTCCCAGGGAAGCGGTCGGGACCTCTGGGGCCGCGGATTGAAACAAAGAGATCGGCGGATGTCAGGGAAGGGGGCCCTGGAAGCTCTCTCGCCGTGCACGGGCCACTGCAGGCCCTCCCTGGGCCCTGGCATCGCCAAGAGACGACTCGGGATGGACAGGTGTCCTGGGAAAGCCCTGAGGTCCTAGTGGTGGTGCGCACCAGGGGATGGCGCGAGTGGGGGCGGCCTTCTATACAAAAAAAAGAAGCACGCAAACATACACTTGTGGCGCTCCGCGCGGACTTCTCGCATGAACGTTTGGCGCCCAGGCGCGGATCCAAGAAATCCGCGCGGAGCGCCAGAAGTTTATGTTTGTGTGGCTGTTCCTTCGTCGACCCTAAGAAGGTAGGGGGGGAGCCTTTCCAGGAAGGCCCCCGCTTTCCAAACAAAAAACAAGCTCCCCCGCCCTCCCAGGAGAGGCCGCCCCCCTCGCGACAGCTCCACGTGCGCACCGCCCATCTCTTCGACCCGCTCAGCGGAGGACCCCTCTTTTCCTTCCGCATGGCGGGGAGGGCCCCCTCGGGCGGATCCAGAAGCGCCGCGATGGTCATGATGTTCCAACCTGCTATAGCCTTGGCCACCAGAACAAAAATCGAGCGCCAAGAGAATACCGAAACTGGCGGGTTTTCGCGTGTCGGGCCCTGGGAGGCGATACTCGTTCGACACTGATTCGACACTGTTCTGGGTGCTCAAACCTATTTTTGCGATGCGGTCCTCAAGTGCGATGGGAGCTACATAACGCGATGGCAGGCGCCAGGATGGCAGGCGCGCGCTGGCGGGGGTGCCTCCTCGATAGGCTGGCGCGTGCTCGCGCGCGGGAGGCAGAACGTGCTCGGCGGTGGTGGGCGCTCGGGCGAGCTGGCCGACCCCGCAGCAGTGGCCAGCGCGGCCTGGAGGGCGGAAGTGATCGGCGTCGGCGGGTGCTCGGGAGTGGCGACCGCGGGTTTGTGAAGGATGTCGGGCACGCTGGGGTGCGGGCAGTGGGGACGGAACCATTGGACAAGGAATCCAACGGTTTAGAGCCGGTGGAACTCCAATCGTGGATTGGCCATGAATCTCACCGCCGCCCTCGTCAGACAAGGAATCCTCCAGGGTCTGAAACTGAAGCCTCCTGGGTACATTTCTCGACCAACGTCCCGACCGCAACAGGGATCGGGGAGGGCAAGCACCCCCCCTGGCAGGAAGCCACCGCCGCATGATCTGCCGACGGAGCTCGTCGACTTTGCGTCGAACGTGCGGCCCCTGCGGCCACATCTGACCGAGGTCGCCCCGTCTGCCCCCCCAGGGGCGCCGCGCGACCACGGCCCCCCCGAGGCGGTGGAGGTCGGCCGAGGCCCCCGCCGGCGCCCACGTGCAGCACAGCCCCGGGAGGGCAAGGCCAGGAGCAGGCACGGGGGCCCCGCCAGGGCTCGCTGCGCCCCGCCCCCCTCGCCCCTGGAGTCCGGGGAGCCTGCCGCTCGCGGGGGAGAACGCCGAGGAGGCCGTGGGTTCCGCGTCTGGGGTGTGGCTCTGCTAGTCATCGCAGGCACAATGCACGCGTCGGGAGAATCAAGAGCTGCCTCCGGTGAGGCAGTTAGGAGGGTAGGCAACAGAGGACTGAGCTTTCCTTGTTTAGCCGTACCCCTGCCCCCTGCCCCTCCCCTCCCCTCTTCCGCTTTCTCTTCCTCCTCAGCCTCCTCCTCCTCCTCCTCCTCCTGCTCCTCCTCCTCCTCCATCTCTGGAGGCCCAGGCCAAGCCAGAAATGTTCAACGAACCGCGATCCTCCTTCTCCCCCTCCCCCTCCCACTCCTCTCACATCTTGTGCTCGTCAACGGCACGCGTCGCCCTCCGTTGGTCAGTCAGCCCGCCCTGTGCGGAGACAGCATCGCTGACGAAGAAGCGCTGAGCTGATAGGTCGGCGACCCGCTGACCCTGGTCAGCGCAAAACCGACCGGGTCAGCCAAGGCCACGTCGGGAACCTGGACCGGCCACAGAATAGCTTCCAAAGCCAGGCCAGCGGAGGGACCAGATGGAGGGTCGGCTGCACGTGACTCACAGACCCAGGTCGGCTAGAGGCTAGACGGGATTGGCTGAACCCTGTTGGCGCCGACCCGCGTAACGTGCTCTCCGATCGGGAGCCCCCCAATGAGGCCTCGGGGGAGCCCTGGAGACCTCTGGGGGCCGCCGGAGACCGCTGCGTGAGGCCTCCACGGAGAGCCTGGCCCAGGAGCACTCCCCTCCGCGCGCCTCTTGCTCACTCCACCCCGCGCACCTCTCGCTCCGCTGCGCCGAGCGAGAGCTGCGCGGCCCTTCCGTGCCGCCTCGCGCCCCAGTGCGGCCAGTGAAGAGCGGCGCGCCGCGCCAGGCCGCGAGGCCCCGGGCGCGGTGGCCCGCGAGCCCGCGCGGGCAGGGAGGTGCAAAAGGTCGGGGTGCAGGGCTGGCGGGTCGGCTGCGACCAAGAGTGGCCTCTGCTGCGCGGCTTGCCGATCGCTGCGTACGGTACAGGACTCGGCCTGACCTGGGGAAGGAGAAAGAAGGAAAGAAGCTCCTTTTTTCCGAGCAAGTCTACGAAGTGCGAAGGAACGGAGCCGCGCGTCCAAAATCTGCAGGAACACCAAGGGGGCTCGCCGCCAAAGAGGTAGCGGAACGCAGGCAAACCAAAGGAACGACAGAGCCCCTTTAGAAAAGCAAGTGCTCCTTATTCTGGCCGGATCCTGTACGACAGTGAAATCCTGCGTGCTCGGGTTTGCCCCCCCCCCCCCCCCCTCCTGCGCCCTTCCAAAAGCCACGCAAGGAAAAACACTCCGGCGAGAAACCACTCCTGCGCGCGGCTGACGCTCTGACCCTGGGCGTGCGACGAGCTGCAGCGATGGGCCAGCGGCGATGGCCAAGGAAGATCCGAGGAGACGGGGACACGATTCTTCCCTGGCTAGAACCTCGCCCTGGCAGCAAAGAACATCGGCACCGCCACCACCAAAGTGACGAGCCAGGGAGGATCCTCCTGCTGGTGTGGCCCACCTGTGCTGTGTTGCGGCGTCCCGCTGGATATGTTTCCAATCTCCTCGCTGGAGATGCCGCGCTGGTGGTGGTTGCGTCAACTTTGTCGCGGCTGCTCACTTCGACGATCACACTGGCGCGAAAACAAGCAATCACACATCTTTTGGCCTTGACGGTGTTGCCACACATCCCCCGATCTTGCCACGGCCCCTCAGCAGACAGGGCTGTAAAGCACCGGTGCACGGTGAAGCTCTGTGGAGGTAGGCCAGCCCAACTGAAGGTGATGTTTGCGTGCCGCACCCGAGAGATCGAGTAAGCATCTTCAGTTTCCTCTCGCCCCCACGTCGACGGCAGGCTCCGCGAAGCCGTTGGGTAACGACTGTGGATCCGATGAAGGCGCCCTGGGGCGGAATGCTTGGCATTCAGGAGACGAGAAGGCAAGACCCTTGCGCCTCTGAAGGGGAGCGCAGATGTGCAATCGCCAATCGCCCTCTCGGACAAGTAGCCTCAGGAGGTTCCTCTTCATCCTGAATCGTTTCCTGATGGACCGGGGTGTGGGAAGAGCATCCTGGGGGAACCATCACGGCGAGCAGAACCTCAACACCGTTCTCTTAGTTGGCGGCAGATCCACCCGCGCAAAAAACACTCCTAAACGCGGGTGAGATGAGGGAATCGAACGGGACATGAGTCATGGCTGTTCGGCAAACCCACATGGCAACTGAGTAAACCGCATTGGGGGGGGGGGATCGGGGTGATTTTTCATGCTTCGACGTTTGCCTTGGGACCCCTTCTCTTCACGGTGGCTGCTCCGCATCCCCGGACCCCTCTATGCAGCCCGCGCCGCGGAGCGGGAGGGGCCGGGAACGCGGGCTTCTCTGCGCAGGGCCACTCCTCGGGGATCTCGCTCATGCTGCGGCACCGCCCCATCCGCCCCCTGCGGCGCGCACGGGGCCGAAGACGGTGGTGGGAGAGAGCACGGGAGGCGAAGGAGAGGCGCGCGAGCCCGGCACGTTTCTGGAGGCGCCCGAGCGGTCGCAATCAGACCCTGCCTCCGGGACAGCTCTCGGGGCCCGAGGCCACGCCCGAAGGCAAGGGAGGGCTGGGTGCCCGAGGGCATGTGCTGGCGACCCCGGCGGGCTCCGCCCAGAAGAACGGGCAGGACTGGCGAGTGCTGCCCGCGGGTCGCTGCCGTGCTGTGTTAACTTGCCATCGCTCGGACGTCTCTTCCCCGTGCATCTGTCGAATTCGTGCGTCGTTCTTTTCGCAAGGGGGTCCACGATGCTCCCGTCGGGGATGTTCTGACCCGGGCCAATCCAGACCCGGGTCAGTCAGGCCTTGCAGGATCCTGCAAGATTCTGCGGGTCACGCGAAGGATCCTGCAAGATCCTGCAGGATCCTGCAAGATCGTTTGCATGGACCCCCGTCTCAAGGCTCCCAATCCCGAGAAGGTCCAGGTTTTCCGGCGCTGGCTTTGCCGAAATGTTCGCACTCGTCCGAGCGACGCCAAGTTTAGACCTTTCGGTCACAGGGTACGGCTCCCCGCTGACTCTGCGTTCTCTGCTACACTCAGAAACATAATGTCGACGACAGAAAGGCAACGCAAAGGAGGACTACCAATGACAAGCGTGAGTAGACGGGCACTCCTGGCGGGCAATGCGCAGAATGCGAACGGGGCACGGTCGTTTGGATGTGGCTTGGTCGCTGGCTCCTTCTCCTCATCCTGCTCCTTCCCCTCATCCTCAACCCTTCCGAAAGGTCTCGCGGGTATCCACTCGTGGCCCCTGAGGCGTCTGGACGTCTCAAGACACCTCCAGAAGCCAACAGACGACATCAAACACCAAACAACAAAAAGCAACTCATACTCGTCTCGTCGCACGTCGCGTCCCGCAGGGAGGCCGCCGACCAACCTAGCAAAACACATCTCCCCATTACACCAAGAGCACCCGATCCTGCGTCCCCTCATGGATGGCGCGGGCTGCTCGCGACCCGGTCAAACAAACACGCCCGGGGGCCAGGGGGAGGTCTCCGTGGCTGCTTTGAGCCCATTGGGAGTTCCCCATCGCCTCAGCTGAGTCGGTCGTGTCCTGAGACATCCTTTTCAGTGCAATGTTTCGAAACCGAATGTCGCATCCTCTATGGTGCGCGCGCAAGAAAAGTACGGACTGCACGCGAGGCGCAAGGGAACAATGCGCAGCTGCGCGGTGACGAGAGAATGCACAAAGGTATAGACTAGTAGAGCAGCCATGTGAAGAAACACCTCCTCGAGTTCCTTCGCGCATTTCCTTCCCGGACCTCCGACCTAGTGATTTTGGCGTGGCCCCCTGGAGGTCTAGAGGTCTAGACCAATTCTCCAGGACTGGCTTTTCACCCCGAGCCGATTTTTTGACGGCCCTAGGGCCCGGCGAAGGCCCCTGGAAGCCGAGAGTTACGAAAAAAACACCGTGACTTTTTCAACGACGCGTGGGGATCTGACTCCAAGGGTCCAGAATCTGCTCCTGGACCTCTCCTGGGAAGCACCCCCAACCAAACTTTGAAGCCAGATCTAGCCTAGCTGTGGCGACGAGGAGCCCCCGTGAGTGCGTCAAAACACCTGAGTCCTCGAGCCTCTGCCTCTGCACCCTCCTACATCCCCACTCCATACCCTTTGGAAGTAACTCCTCACTGATTCTCACCCCCAGACATACCGGTAGGCCGGGCTGGGCCTTTCGCCTCAAACTTCCTCGCCATCTGTGATCCTGCAGCTTGACGTTTGCAACAGTTCCAAGGATGGAGCACAAATCATGTTCAAAATGTGGCTCTCGCCTAAAACGCCGCGCGCATTCGTCTTAAACCGTTGCAGCTGTTTCAAGGATGGATGTCGGTTCTTTGCCAAAGTCTGTATCTCGCCTCAGTGCCGCGCGCATTCGGCTGTACATTCTGCAACAACTTCAAAGAATCGCAGGGCTTAGGCCCAGGAGTGGTGTTTTGGCACGGCTTGGCATTGGCAGGACGTTACAGTCACGTCCATTCGCTGTGTTCAAGCCCCAGGAACTGCGTCCTGGCACCATCTAGGTTCTCAGGACGCAACAGGCATTTGGATCCGCGGCGTTGCAATAGCAGGACCAATGTTTTAGAACGGGTGAGGGTTCTCATACTGTTGCATTTCAATGTTGCGCTTCCCGCGAAACTCGATTATAGGGACTCGTGAACAAAGAGCATGGAGAGACGGATTCTTGCAACATAGTTGATGCGCCTGGGGTTTGCATTGGTCCTCATCCTGCCCCTCTCCCTCCCCCTCCCCCTCCCCCTCCTCCTCCTCCTCCTCCTCCTCCTCGTCCTCCTCCTCCTCCTCCTCCTCCACAGCATCTTCCTCCTCCTCCTCCTCCTCCTCCTCCTCCCCGCCCCCCCCGCGGCGGTCGCCGCCTCCTCCTGTGACGGGGAGCCTGGCTCGGTGGGGGCAGGCATCGACCTGGAATCGGCGACACATGGCCGACAGGATGGCGGTAGGCCCCCGACAGCGAATCGACGTTCCTGCGCGGGGTCGGCTCTTGGGCCCCTGTCGGCGATGACTTGGCGATGGCGCGTCGATGCGTCCCCCCCCTGAACCAGTTCCCCAAATTCCGTCGCCCCTGATGAAAGTGGCCGCCGCCTCCTCCTCCCAGCAGGGAGGGGCCTCCAGTGGCGCGCCGCCCGCGCGCGATCAACGCTGCGCTGTGGAAGACCGCGGGAGGCCTTCGCCGCAGCTGCATACTGCAGCCTCCTCTCCTTTACCGCAGAGGAAACAACGCATGCAAAACATGAGTTGTTAAAGGTCCGCGCGGATGTCTTGGATCGGGAGCATCATGATCCAGGGCCGACCCAAGAGATCCGCGAGGCCCTCCGAAAATTGACGTGTGTGGCGCATTCGGCAATTTCGTGTTTCGTCGCTGCTCTCTCGCTGGACCTGGGCATGGCGACGCCAATCGTGGACGTTGTGGGAGTCCGCGGGCTGTCTTAGCATCGGGCCCTGCTCTCGGGCCCTTCCGTCCATGCGAGGCCCCGCGGCTCTCGATACTTTACCAGCGGGGGGGGAGAGGAGACCCGGATCCACGACTTAGCGGGACTTTCAGCTACAAAAGAAAATGGGAGGCCCAGCTCGGGGATGCACGATAGTGGGGGGTTCTCCTCGACAGGGCTGCGTCCGAATGCCCCTCCAGAAATGTCCCCGAATTCCATTCCGCTCTGAACACCCCTTGTTGAGGGTTGTGGAGGGCGGTCCAGTGGCCCAGGGGGGACCTCGGAGAATGGGGAGAGAAATCGAGCGTAACGCTTCCCAATGCTTCGCCATTGTCCACCTCATCTCGTCGCGGACCACAAGCGCGACGAAATGTTGTTCGCCACCTGCTGCCCCCAGGACCCCCTGCCAGGCCGCGGGGCCATGAGCGACCCGACGCGGAAATTCCCATATGCGCATCCAATTTCTTAGCACTTCCCGCTCGGATTGACTGACGCTGAAAAGTCTTCGCCTGCTCCACTGCGGTGGTCGGGGAACGCTGAATGGCAGCTCCCATTTGGCGAGCTGAAACAATCGCCCCGCTTGAGACATCCTCGCGATCTGCTCTGAAAGCGCAGGAGTCGGAGGCGCGGAAGGAGAGCAACACTCGAGACATCCACACGATCTGGGCGCCAACGGGCGAGCTTCCTACCCCCCCCGCGGCTTCCCCGGCGCGAGCGCCGCGCTGGAGACGTCCTCGGACATTTCGCGCGCGTGTGCGCACGTGTTTCGTTCGTTCGATGCCCGCCCAAAGCGGAAACGCCGTGTCTTCGCGCCGTCTCATTCCAGGCTGCGCTCCAAGGCAAAAAATGCCGACTGCAGTGGGTGAGGCGGAGTCACGTGGGCGGGGCACGGCCCACTGTGTAGCCACCCGACGCTAAACTACACAACCCGCACGCTGCTCTTGTCGCACCCATCCGCCTGGACTGGCCCCTTCCCAGCACTGGGCACGCCGACACTCACGCGACTTGCGAGCAACACGCGCCACCTTGGTGGTTGCCGCTGTCGGTTTTAGTGTGTGGACCGGCCCGTTCCGGGTGGCGTGGCGGCACCTGCACCGCGCGACTCCACACAAAGTTCACGGTAGCCTCTGGGAACGCGGGTGGGTGAGAGAGCGTGTTTAAGCCGCATGTGTGCGTATGTGTGGGGGAGGAGGGCAGAGGGGTTACGAAAAGATTCAGCCTGCCGGCCACGGCCATGCCATTACATCTGAGAGGGGGGGAGGGGGAGGGAGGGGAGGAAAAGGGAGGGAGGAGAGGAGGGGGACAGGCCAGAAGGAAGGAACAGGGCGAGAAGGCAGAAGGCCAGGCAGGAGGCGGAGGATAGGGGAGGGGGAGGGGAGGGAGAGGACGACGAGAACGACTAATCGGGGGCCGGGGCCAGCGCGCCAGGCACAGAGCTGGTGGCTCCAGATGCCACGCCGCTAAACACCACAGCGCAACGCAGCGCAGCACGGCCGCGTGTTTGCGTGCGTGTGGCAGCACATCACAGCACAACACAGCACAACAACGCACAACATATCGAGATCATATCACAGCATATCACAGCACATCACAGCACATTTCAGCCCACGCCGCTTGGCGTGTTTGTGTGTGTTCGTGTGTGTGTGTGTGTGTGTGTGTGTGTGTGTGTGTGTGTGTGTTCGTGTGTATGTATGTGTTAATGTGTGCGTGTGTCTGTCCGTTTGTCTGTCTGCTTGCCCGTGTGTGCGTGTGGTGTGTGTGTGTGTGTGTGTGTGCGTGTGTGTGTGTGTGCGCGTGCCGTGTGCCGCGTGAGCCTCCCGTGAGCCTCCCCCGACGTCGTGACTTTTGCTCACAACTTGGACCCCCTGACGTCACGACCCCATCCCCGGTAAATGCTTGTCGGTTATACCGAGCAGTTTTCGACGGGATCTGGGGCCCGGTAGGAAGTCTACATACTAAAGATCGTTCCCCAGGACCAGAGCTGTATGCTGGAGTCGGAAAGAAAACACTGAAGCATTGGAACGGCCGCATCGCCAGAGGTTTGGAGAATGGTCGGCTCCGTGCAGTGCGGCGACAGCCTCCGTTGACCGAGAACGAGGCCGGCCACACGCGAGAAGGGTTCCCTCGAGCAGGTGGCCTCTGGTGCGCGGCTCGGCGATCGTTGCACGTCGATGCGGCAGTGCCGACCTGAGTGCTGTTGAGCAGGGACCGACCGTCTCGGCATTCCTTTAGGCCTACCACGACATGCTCTTAGAACCCAAGAGAACTTTAATAACGAACACCACTTTCCTAAAACATAAACCCGATGTGTCAAAACAAAGCAGTCCCAGCCATAAATGTTCTAAGAACATTTCGTCGAAACCACACAAGCTTCTTAGAACATGATTTGGTGGGCCTATAGGCGAGCCAGGACGCTTCGCCACTGCTTGATGCTGGGCGCTGCCCCCCGCCCACCCCCCTCGTCACCCGAACGCCACCCCCCTGCCAGCCACGGCCACGCCACCAACCCCTGCGCAGGCCGCAAGCAGCGGAGGGAATGGGGGGCGATGATTCGATGAGTGCCAGATATGAGCGGGGTCCTCGGAAACCCCGACCCTTTCCCCAGAGGTTGGCGGCGCGCGCAAGGGGATCATTGTGGGGAGGGGCAAGGCTTCTTAGAGGGAGGCTACTTCCGAGAAGGCGCCCGCCCCACATCCACAGACAAGGCCCGCGCCTTCTGAGAAACGGGAGCGCTTCTTGAGAAGTCTCGCCCCTTCCCCTACCCGCCTCTAGGCGTGGCTGAACTGGGTAAACCAAAAGGTACCGATAGCGCTATTCCCCGGACCTCTGCCGGGGCGCGTTCTGACCAGGATCTCGAGGCGAATCCAGCGGCAGCGACGAGGGCCTCTCAAGAGGCCTAACTGGGGGAAGACGACGGGAAGAGACTTTTTTCCTCATCCGAGGAACAGGGCCGGCTTCTCATCCCCCATCGGTTTTTTGACGTTCCCAGGGGCTCTGCGTGGGCCCCCCGAGCCCGCGATGCCCTCACGACGCAGGCGCGCGTTCCCTCATTTTCGGCGCGAATGGGCATTATAGCGAGGGGGGGCCAGGGGGGGGGGTACTGTATGCATCGCCGAAGTATCGGCGATGCATCGGCGATGTATCGGCGACGTCGGCGATGCATCAACGACGTCGGCGTGGGGAAGCACGGGCTCCATCGGCGATGCGGCGCCATCCTCCGACCTCATCCACTCCGACCCCATCAAGGAGGCCCAGAGTTATAGGGGGGGAGGGGGGCCAGGGGCGCTATAATGCCTAGCGTGCCCCGAGCAATAAAGCAACACGCTCCAGGCGCGCCTGGGCGGGTGCCTCCTGAGGGCAGGAACAAAAAGAAGCCCGAGGCCGCTCCGGCGGGAGAGGCCCCTCCTCGCGTGCGGTCCCGCCCCGGTCCTCAGGAAACTCCGGGCGAGAGGGGGCGGCCGCGACCCGCCCCGGGGGCACAAAGAGCGCTGCCTCGGGCCTGGGCGGACCGCCGCGAGGCGTCGCGCGCGAGCCGACGACGACGACGACGACGACGACGACGACGACGACGTCAACGACGACGACGACGACGACGACGACGACGGGAACGACGACGACGACGACGACGACGACGACGACGACGACGGCGGCGGCGAGACCGACCACGGCGACACCGACGATCACGCCGATAACGGCGACGACTACGTCAACGACAACGACGAGAACACCGAGCACGATGACGAAGGTGACGGCAACACGGACAGCAGCTGGGGACAAGAGTAATGCCATGATGCGGTTTAACCAGGACGCGCTACAGGAGCTCTGGTGTCTCTGAAAATGTGTCTGGAACAATACGAAGGCCAGGAAATACTTGAACGCATGGTTTCCACACGTTTTTGTTATCTTTTTTTCACATGATGCCTGAGGCGATGGTTGTTGAGCCCACACAAATGCCAACGGCTGCAATTTCAGCCGCTCGCTTGCTCATAGACGGACGTCCGCAGCAGCGCCTGGGCACGGAACACAATCCCCCATCATCCAGATATGGACCGTTGCCGCCATGAGCAAAGGATTCCTGTTGGAGAAACCGGAACGGAGGCATGTCGAGACCCCAACCCCGATAGCTGACTTCGGGAAGTCGCCATATAATAAAGAGCGCTCGAGGCTTGAGTGGCCCGAATAGGGACAGCCCACAAAAGGACCAGTGTGCGAAACCGCGGCCGTCACCAGAAACCCCCGACGTGCTGATTGTTGTCGCAACGTGGGCTCCCGGCGCGCACAAGGGGGCAGGGGGCGGGGGGAGGGCTTCTTTGAAGGAGGCTGCTTCTGACAAGTCACCGACCCTACATCCACAGACAAGGCCCGCGCTTCTTCTGAGAAGCAGGGGTGCTCCCGAGAAAAAAAACAAACCTACAAATTCTACAAATTACCCCCCTCTGCGCGTTGCCGAGTGGGCCCGTGGAAGTCTCGACCTACCCAAGGCACCGGTCTTTCCGACGACTCCTGCGCTGTGTAAGGCTTTCTGGAGGTCGGACATGGTGAACACCCGATTGTCTCTGCACGGCGCGAGGGCGCCGGGGCCCAGTGGCCTGAAATTGACCCCCGGACCTCTCCCCGGATGCATCCCGAGGGGCATGTCGAGCGACGGCGAAGCTCCTGGCCCCCCCACCTATAAAAAGGGCAAACGCGCCCAGCAACGTCGACCTGCGAGCGAGGGACGTTTTTCAGTCTGGTGT